GACCATACTGAACTTTGCATCCGCAGGCTCCGCGAGACCCAGGTAAACCGGAACACGGAATCTCGTTCGAATTCCCTAAGGGAGTGGGGAGAATCAAAGGCGCGAGAGAATGAGGAAGTGGCCTGAACGGTCGGAGGCCAGACGTTCAATCTGTCCACTATCTATTGCGAATCCAGAATATTGCGAATCTAGAATGAAATGCGTGTGCGTACCTGACAGCCACTGCCGTGGCTGGCGATGGCTGTGCGTGCGGTGTCGCTGTGGGATTCAATCCGGCGTCGACATCAACGCCCATTTATCTACTGTATGCTCTTGCGAGCGCTCCGTTGCTCACGTCTGATGCCACAAGCCATTTGCCGCCTACCGTGGCCGATTCTGCTTGTTCGCCACTAGTGCCTCTTTTCTATATACTTCACATTGGTCATTGGTAAGATATGTTTCATGTCGATGGTGGTTGTCTAGTTTTGCAAATCGACAGACGTCAAGCTTGAGAAGTGAACTCTAGATTTTCGGTCAAACCGAAAGCATGATACGTTGGGCGCGATTCATGCCCCACTCTGGGCCGTACGTGCTGACATTGTACGTCACGTAGGGCGTCTACGACACTCATGGATCAATCGAGATCCATGAGTGTGAAAAAGCTGTCCTCCGTTGACGACAGCAGGAGGCACTCGAGAATTCGAAGTCCGCTGGCCCCGCCGCCGGAGTTGTTTCGAATTTGCAAACAACAGACGCTCAACAAGATATAGTTTTTACCCACGCATTCATTCGATTCGAGGGGTGGATGGGTGCCGCGTGCAGGTAACCATTTTCCCCTCCCCCCAAAATTTTACCAACCGTCCTGCGCCGGTGGGGAAATTGTCACCCCCTCCCTCTGATCACTACTCATCTTATCCTACTTAGCTCTGTCTTCTCTAGTGAATAAAATCTACGATATTCGACTCTTGCACAACGAGGATCGTGAAGACACGATATCAACGGTGACAGGTTCGAGTCCCCGTCTTTCCTCCTGCCACCACGATCTCACATTTCCGTCACAGACGCTGGTTGTCCCAATCTCATTTGCTCTATCAACATTCCTTCTATCACCACGACTTCTCTTCAAACCACTAGCCCACAAGCTTGTTATCGCATCATGTCAAACCCTGTCCTGAAAGACAGCGCTCGTTCACCTAATGGACAACACACAATGTCCTCTGATGCTGGATCCTCGCAAGATACAG